CCCCCCCCCCCGAGTCCGTCTTGGTTTGGGTTTATTTGCCTATTCATTTACAGACACGGCTTTATCTGCACCTTTGCCAACGACTGGGGTCGTACTCTACTTGAATTTGCGATAGAGGTGGTTTCGGTGGTTGGAAAACCAAGCCTATCGAAGCGATTCCACCTTCCACCACCCAAAAAGTCAAGCAGCGGGAACAACCAGCCATCGGTGGGTCATCGATCTGGGCGTAGTCCTTCCACCGAATCCGGCCATCAGCTTGACCAAATCGGGATTAAGATCAAGCGTCTTCAAGGCGATGCATTTACATATGCTAGTATATGTCGAACGGTTTTGAATCAGGCAGGGGTGAAGATGTTTACTTCGTCCTAGGTGGCGACACTATTTCAACTATCAATTCACTTGTCGCCTTCTCTTGTATTGCTTAACCCGAATTCCCATCCTACTCCCCCACATCTCTTGCTAAATGCCGGCTAGATCGTGAAATGTTTATGAGGACTCGGTGAAATTTACGGTGATGCTTGAAGTGTAATTTTATGTTCACTTCTCCTCTTTAATGCGAAAATCAGGTTTTGGACCCAAAAAATTAAAGATATGATTTGGTGGATTATCTCGTCAAATTCTTAAAGTGTGGGGCTGTAAATTTGGTGTTTTTCGTTATTTTGTTCTCTCTTACTCCTGTTGCGGATCATACTTCAAGGGGAAGTTAAATTTGTTTGAAGGGCTATTTTACAAAATTTGATAGTTTGGCGTAGTGCAACTCCTAGGACTGGGTAGTCTCATCTCCGTGTTACGAGCAGTGTGGGATGTTGACTTTCGAATTGATTGCAACAAAGGCGATGCATCTATGCAGCTGAGGTGGCTGGTCGCTCTTCTGGAGGTGCTAAGTCCCCTTGCACTGCCAGTCTTTTAGTATTTCTCAATAGCCACAGCACCTAGCGTTTAGCGTCCTCTGCACTTCTCAGAGTATCTCTGCTATTGCAGATGCTCCACAAACGGCTTGCAGCCTTTGAATTCATTACTTTTGAGAAAATGCACGTTGTGTTGGGCCTCCATAGGTTTTAAACAATTTCCAAGCATTTTCTTCAAAATTCATTGCGCCAAGCACATTGAGTTCCCATCATTGTAATTCGAGAGTAACAATTGTCAATTACATGGTTAATTCCTTGTCTTATGTGTTTTTACATGTATACCCTACAAGAACAATTTCAGCTACCTCTAACCCTAGCAGTGCTTTCAAAGATGGGTTTAATTGGAAAATCCAATTCTCCTATTATTCACGCACAAATTGAAGTAAGGGAAGTCTTAAAAGAAACTTGGCATCTTTATTTTGGAAGGTAGACTCCAAAGATGGTGAGGACGCGTGTTCAACCCCAATAAATACCCACTACCATTCTCCTTTCTTGCAATCGCTTAACAGCATTTGGATCCCGTCCATTTTCGATGGTCAACAAATCCTATTGACGAGACTCCACTCTGCTCCGCACCAAGACATGGGTCACCATGGCTGAAACAAACTTTGTCTACTGTTGTGGACAGTAATGAAGGCAAATGAATTTTTTGTGCCGGTCCTGTTACTGCAGTGTCGATAGGTCGTGGGGGCAGTGGTGGACGGCCTCCATTAGGGTTAAATGAAGTGTCAAATTGACGTTCATAAGTGTAGGACGGATGACAGGTATGAGAGGAGTGGGGAATGGTTCTAAGGGTAGGTAGAAAGTTCTGAAGACCAACCCTCCCCTATTAAAACAGGAGAAAAGTGTAAGAGTGTATGTGATATTTATCCGGTTACGTGACGCAACGCTATACTGACGCCTGAAGCTTGAACGGCTTACTGGAAGTCTGGTACGAGCATTCAGATCTGAGTTCTAAGATTTGTGCGTAATTAAGAAGTAGTTACAGGAAGTCGACGGCCACTCACGTATTTTTCATAAAGTTGGCTTCTTACAGGCCCGTAAGCATGTTCCTCAAGTGGTGGCGCAGAACTCAGAACGGTACCTATTGGAAGTGAGACAGAGTGCCCACCAGCTGGGATCTCCTCATTTGCATACGACGAAATCTATTTCGAAAAAAGCAGATGGAGAGCACTGTTCATTGTAACCTACTGCACAAAGCTGCTTCAGTGCTCGCAGTTTGTCCTTTTCCGGAATAAAAGCTTTCATTATATGTTCTGTGCCTCTCACAGTTTGATGATCAAAAAGAGTTCTAAAAAGGTCGCAGTTATGTCCCACTTACTAAGAATATAACCCACCGTTTGATACAGTCCAATGCACTGAGTTTATCACTTTGAGTAAGTTGCAAGTTTCGAAGAACTCCTTCACCCTCGGCACAACTCATCCGACAGAGTCGACGTTCAAGCATTCGGAGAACGCGAAGTTTCTCCGGTGCAGTTTTAAAAGTACCAACCAGAGCGGCAGCCTGAGAGCCACTAAAGTTGCCCCTCGAGTAGTATAGCTTGGCTAATTTGCGTTCGGTTCCATCAGTTTCTGCACGTAGATCAGCGATAAGACGGCTAAAGTCACTGTCGAGGAGAGGTTTTCGAGACATCTTAAAAATTGCGATAACTTAAGAAATTTAATCGATGAAGACCAGATACATGTCAAATCGTTCTTAAAAACTGCAAATAACTCCGCAGCTGCACTTGATTGCACATAAAATTAGCAAAAAGACTTCTCTTTGCAACTACATTAACCACAACACTATTTGAAAGCCTCCTTCGCAAATCATGGCAGAATCCGTATAAAATCTCGATGTATTCCATTAACTGCATTTTCAACACCTAACTTAGGAAAAGGCAATCTCCCTTTACTTGAATAACTGGCCGATACGACTTCTACGGTTTAAGAATAATAAGTTTGTGCTACCGCCACAACGCTTATCGTTATGAAAAATAATTTAAACAGAAATTTAAGCCAATAATAGATATAGCGTTGGAAAGTTCACTACAATTACATTAGTCCTCAAGTTCTCAGTTCTGATGACACGCACAATATTAAGTGAAACACGACGAATTTGCTTAAAGCCAGATCAAAAAAAGGTAATTACTGCATAACATCGGGGAAAACTTGTAGTTTTTGGGAATGGTATCAAAGTCTCGATGGGAACTAGTTTAAAACTAACTAGCATTTCAAGCTGCGGTGCATATTTTGGCCAGACTTGTTCACTGACGTAAGTTGCCAAGTCATTTGTACCATTGCTTTCCTTTAAAGTGGTCAGCATCCTGCACTAGTTAATACAACATATTAGGACCGTCTCGATACACCATATTAGATGATGAAGGTATTAGTCCTGGTTGGATACTTGTGTAATTCTTTGTTTATGTGACCGTCGAGTGTCAGGCGATCACTATGGTTTTCGTCTGGTCCTTGTATTCAGTCCAAAGTAATGCCTTCTTCTACCTAATGGCAAATCTCAGAGTGCTACAGTGGTAATGGTATAAAGCGAACTCTACCTTTTTTAGCCACTTCTATCTTAGTATCAACCGCTTGTGACGCATTGCTACGGTGTGGAAGAGGCACATATACGTCTGGCAGGAAAGTCATTAAATTCTTCACAAAACGGCGAGACCGCCGTGAACTATCTAAAAAAGTTGTGTTCGAAATTCTCCCTACCACATTCTCGTATGAATGTCGGTGTGGATACTACTGATTTCCTTATGTACTGGACTGTGTCTAATCTTGTTTCTTTCCGTAAAATATCAGTTTTTTACCAGAGTTCCAACTTATAGTCATGGAAACAGTTAGTGGTCAGCAGATGTATGTGGTTCCGATTCAGACTCTCGGATCTAACGTAACTCTAGATCAGATTGAAGCTGCTGAAGAGACCGTGTATAGTTCCTGAGTCTAATGGAAGCTATTGACAGGTGCGGCTGGTTCGCGAGTGCTTTTTCCAGTACTGGATGTGTTATAGTGGCTGGAATGGTAGGTGCTTGTGTGACCAGTTGATGCCTGATCTTGTGCGAGTGCGCTGACCTTTGAGTCAAGCTCAGGCCTAATCCCTTTCCTCTCCTTAGAAGATATATAATCAGTCAACGTAATGCCTACTATCTGGTGGGAAGTCTCGAGACGCTACAAATTGCATTCAGACAGGAAGGAATCCGACGAGGCTTAGGTTTGGTCTAATAGCATCCTTGCCATTTTATGGTGTCCCTCTTGCTCTTGGATGATGGGTTGATTTCCAGGCGAGACCTCTGAACGCAATTTGCCAGCCGTGCTTTGTATCGTCCCGAGACTTTCCATAGGGTGGTATAAAGCAGTAATTGGGGCTGGATACATTTATTCCGAAGAGAGCAAATGGGCCTGGGCATGACCCGAAGGCCGGCCCACGAATACAAGTGTCAGACAAATCTTAAAGCGGCCGCCAAATATCAGGTAGTCTCATAAACAAAGAATTACACGCTTAATGCCTTTACCACCAAATGCGAATTCTAAGTAAGTTACATTGGTGGTAAAGGTAGACGAGATCAAACTTTTTAAATCTCTACCTTTAGCGTCCCATAAAGAAGGTATTATGTTGGACTGAATGTATGCACCTTAGGGGAGAAAAGAAATTAAGCCTGAACTTGGCCCGAAGGCCAGCCCATGTGTACAAGGACCAGACGAATAGCAAAATAATCGCCAGACATCAGATGGTGACAAAAACGAGGTAGTGCGCTGCCATTTTTAACAAGCTTCTAAGGTGCGGTTAACGAGCATGTTTTGAGATGGATAAACTAACTTCTTCACGGCAAAAGCGTTGAAAATGGCGTCTGCGTTAGGCGTTTGTCTCGTATATGTGTTACACTGGCAAGATATTCACAGCTGAAGTGGCACCACTTTAAATAATCTTGAATAGATTTTTTGGAGCTTTCTTAATCGCATCTGTACATAGATGTCGGCGATGGCAATACACCAAACTGGTTTCCATATGAGACTGCATTTTGTACCGATCTTCTCGTTACGCAGCTCTTTTAAATTAGTGTTTCTACGTCTGGTCCTAGGTACGACTGACAACAGACATTATTTTTCTACTCGTATCCAGCCACATGGGATCTAAGACCTAGTTAAAGCTACTGAGAGGGTTAGATACAATTCCCCTACCTCGTAGGGGCTGATGAATAAAGGAGCTAGCCCGGAATACGTAGCCTTGGCTGGCACTGAAGATCTAGAGGACTTGTTTGACTGAATTCCTCTATATTCAGCACTCACTCGCTCACCGTTCCATGGACTAGCACAAATTTGCCCACCCCTGTTGGTAATGTAGTCCATCCCGTTCTGCTCTGTAGGTCCTTTGCCCTAGTCGTAATAAGTGGAGGGTTACTTTGAGAATACCCATTTTACATTTTTGAAGGATCTAGGCTTAACAAAGAACTTAGTACGGTTATAGCAGTGGTCATACTAGTTTGAAGAGCGGACTTCGCCCCCTACAAGCATCGGATTCGCTTTACCTCCCGGCTCTTCCTTAAAAATCACAATTTAAACAAACAGTGTGTATAACATCTCATTTCAGAAGTACGGGCTAATACCTAAGTCAGGCCAAAGCCCAAATCGTATACTTCTCCCTAAAAAATCAAGTGTTTAGCCATGTATAGTACCTTCTACTACCTAGCATATAGTCTTGGAATGCTATTCAACCCATTCAGCGAAAGCAAGATGGCTGCAGATGTTAACGAAGCATTACGAACTACTACACTGATATTCAAGTTTTTATTGAACTGTGGTGTTTGCTCTATGGGCTATCAACTCCTTCTGCCAACTCAACTTGAGCTCAAGTTTATTTTCCATACAAAGTGAATAAAAGTGGGGCATATGCCAGTTACCGCACAAGTCCATAGATAGGATCCTTACTCTGAAAAATAGAACAAATTTATGAAGGGAAGAAAAAGGTCAATGTAATCAAGAAGGGTCACATTCTTTCGTCTGTTGTAGCACTCCGCGACTTTCCACTAGGTAGATAGAGGCATTAAGTACGGTTGAATAAATGGATTGAGAGAGAAGGAGAGGAGGTTGGACTTTGGCCAACATGTACGAGGGCAAGACGAATGCAAAAGCAACAGCCAGGCATACAGGTTGTCAAATGCACAAAGCATTGCAGCTACTTTGCACAGTAATCGTATTCATTTTGATCCCATAATACTAACAAAGTCGAACCGCGTGGCAAATATTAATTTGCCAGTATCTTTTCGTATGATGGACAGCACCATAACAAAAATGTTTCAGTGAACTCATGATGTGCATTGTGTCAAGATCAAATGAGTGTAGAGGAGATGCTAAGCGGTCCAAGGATAATAAAATGTATTACTTGGCGTATGACTTCGCAGCCTACCTTAAGGTCTCTGAACTTCTGACTTCATGAGAGAGTTGATTGAAAAGGTTTACTTGACATCTTGTACAGACAAGGAAAAGAAAATTATCGATAATACAATAAGCAACGTCACCTCATGAGTGTATTTTGACGCTCCTCACGAACCTATAAAGGCAACTTCACCGCGCTAGTATATATTCCCCTATGCTTATTGAACCAACTGATATCTGGCGGTAACTTTAGGATTAGTCTGTAGCGTCCCAAGGCTTTCCACCAGGTAGTAGGTATTACGTTGACTGATACATATTATCTAACGAGAGGAAAGGGATTAGGTCTGAGCTTGGTCCAAAGGCTAGCCCAAGCGCAAAAGAACCAGCTGAATCTTTAAAACCACCGAAAACCGGAAGGTAAATTCAACTCAGTATTACACGTCTGACCTTTGCAAGCGTGAGCTGGCCTTCGGGCTAAGCCTAGGCCTATTTCCATCTTCTGCTCCTGGAATACATACATTGAGTGCAACTCAATGTCTTCTACCTCATAAGAAGTCTCAGAGTGATACAAAAATCTTATTTGCAACCTTAATGCACCTCTTAAACATTTGACGAAAGTAAAATTGTGCTCAGTGATGGCTTTTATCCAGAACAAGCTTATGTAAAATAAGAGATACAACCTTTATAACCCAGCATATAAACTGATATTGCTTTAATGAAATAAGGACCTTTTATGTATTGTATAGATTGCAGTGCATGCAGTTGTTCGGTGCATAAAATTAGCAGACTACGAAGTGTTAACTGTAAATTCCAAGACATTTTTCTGCAAAAGTAGACTTAATTTTAAGGTCGCCGGGCTTGTTTTACAAATTAACCTTTTCGGATCCATTTCAAATCGCGTATTTGACCTCGGGATGCCAAAACATTCATGATGGTCATCGTTAAGCCTGTTCTAGTGCACATAGTATTTATTGCCTGTATTAACGTTTCAGGTATGTCAATACTTAGGCATTAGACGTTTTGTCCCATCAACTTGTCAATTACCTGCAGTTACTTAAGTGAAATTAACTTGTTTGTTTCTTACAAAAGACAGATCCTTGGCATATCCGAGGCTGAGATTCAGCACACTAAGTTTTGAAGCTAAACAATCTGTGATTGTGCACTTTAATTTTAGTGAAGGATCAAGCAGTTCTGCGATTTATGCTGTAATTATATTTGCAAACCATCTAATCAAATATTTTATTCAGTTTTAGCACATAATATTCAAGATGTAGG